CGTTTCTCTTAATATTATCCTGTTAACAGTATTATCCTTCTTTGTTGTATGATCGTTTTTGTTTATGTTAACTTGGTAACAATAAAAAACATTTCTTTGTTATATGATCGTTTCTCTTAATATTATCCTGTTAACAGTATTATCCTTCTTTGTTGTATGATCGTTTTTGTTTATGTTAACTTGGTAACAATAAAAAAACATTCTCTGTTATATGATCGTTTTTGTTTATGTTAACTTGGTAACAATAAAAAACCTTTCTTTGTTATATGATCGTTTCTCTTAATATTATCTTGTTAACAATAAAAAACCTTCTCTGTCATATGGTCGTTTCTCTTAATATTAACTTGTTCACAATAAAAAAAACCTTCTTTGTTGTATGATCGTTTCTCTTAATATTATCCTGTTAACAGTATTATCCTAATGGTATGAAAATAACTGGGAAATCAAACTATACGATAAGAGAGGAGTTCCCTAAGAGTTGGCGGTGGGTGCTGTTGGCTATATTCTTTCTCTTTGGTCTTTCAGTTCAAAACTAGGCTATTCATTGATAACCCTTGTGTATGTTTGTTTGTAAATAAGCACAAAGATACACAATGGGCTATCTGTGCTCTGCCCACCACGGGTATCGAAACCCGGATTCTAGCGTTGTAAGTCCGCAGACATACCGCTGTGCCACTGGGGGGCCAACCCTTGTGTAGCTCTACGTGAACTTCTGAAACAAACAGACTAAGTAACCTGTAATGTTGAGACATAAAATGAATTGTACAGATGGTGAATTATGTCTGGAGTTTATAATATTAAGAATACAAATTACTATATAGAATTATCGTTGATATCATCATCAATTACCAATATAATATATTTTCTATATATAACAGCAGGACATACAATGGTTAGAGCTAAGCTCATTTGATGAAAATCTAAGTTTCCCAAAATTTTGTCGCCCATGGTTTTTTGTGCGCCCCCTCTTTCTTTTTTTTTTAACGAGTGAAAGAGTGAGTTAGTGACGGATAAGCCTTAAAATTTTATATGTATTGTAGTAATTACTTATTATTTTCATTAACGAAAAATATATTAAAACGCTTAATTTTGCATTAATTCGCTATTGACTATTACCCTAATCACTCGCACCCCCTAAGAGATCATTTGCACCCTCTTGAGGGGGGTACCCCCGCTTTGAGAAAAGCTATATTAGATAAAAAAAATAAGTTATAGGAATTATAATTAACAGAAAAGATAACCGATAAAAAAGTGGTGGGAAATAAAGATAATTATAAGAAAACATAATATAAATAGTATATGCGTATGATTGTAGAAGTTATCAAGTGATGGTAAGTTATAAAACATCATGATAAAGATTTATCACTTATCTTTATCATGATGTTTTATAACTTACCATCACTTGATAACTTCTACAATCATACGCATGTACTATTTATATTATGTTTTTTATAATTATCTTTATTTTCCACCACTTTTTTTTTATCAGTTGAACTTGTGAGACCAATTATTTTAACGAAACCCACCGATTACACACTTGTGAGACCAATTATTTTAACGAAACCCACCGATTACACACTTGTGAGACCAATTATTTTAACGAAACCCACCGATTACACGTTCTCCTAAGCCTCCTAACTCCAAGTACGCGTTATTGAAAGCTTCTTTCATTTCTTCATCCAAATTCTTCTCTTTTCCATTGATATAGATAGTGGAACAACGGCCAAGAATTCTTTCGGGAGCACCCTTCATACAGAGGATGTAATTACAGTCAGAGGGTTCTTCCAGTTCGTTTATAGTTACCTACAGGAGAAAAACAAAAGCTTCCGTTACCGAATGATACATAAGTGTTCTTGTATATAAAAGTTAAAAACTTCAACGTTCCTGCGTTGTTTAAAAAATATTACGATTTAAAGAACACTTTTCAAAGACTGTGTATGGTTTATTCTAATTTTACTAAAGTTGTCAGGATAGCATTCCGAGACATATAAAATGGGAGCTGTGAACTTTCTTGGAGTGATCAGTTCACCTAGAATGTTCAGTTGAAAGTTTTAGAATTTTAAAGATACTGATGGAAGATCCTATATATATACAACTATCTCTATATTGGTAGGCACGGTGATCATAAATTTGTGTTTCGGAACGTTTTTTCAACTGTTTGGCAGCTTTGACGTGTTTAGTATGTCTGCAAATTCAACAACATCAGAAGTGATATATACCCAAGAAACCTGCCGTCGATATAGAACACACCCAAGAAACCTGCCGTCGATATAAAACATAATTTGTTTAGGAGAAAAAACTGGGGGATACTAACAAATGTCTGAGGCTGGTGACACTCTGTTTGAGAAATAAAACTTGGGTTACTTGGGAGAACAGACAGGGAGATACTAACAAATGTCTGAGGCTGGTGACACTCTGTTTGAGTAATAAAACTTGGGTTACTTGGGAGAACAGACGGGGAGATACTAACAAATGTTTCATTAACTCTACTGGACTGAGGCTGGTGACACTCTGTTTGAGAAATAAAACTTGGGTTACTTGGGAGAACAGACAGGGAGATACTAACAAGTGTCACATTAACTCTACTGGGCTGAGGCTGGTGACACTCTGTTTGAGAAATAAAACTTGGGTTACTTGGGAGAACAGACAGGGAGATACTAACAAGTGTCACATTAATCCCAACGTTCGATTAGAGTAGCCCAAAGTTTGGCAGAGAGTATTGTTAACTAACTGCCTTTGCAAAAGAATATCAGTTCAAAATTAGGGACTTATATGCACAGAAAGCCGTTGTGTAACTCTGCTTCGAATATATATATATAACTACTTATTAGTTTGAGAGAGAATGAGTTTTGGCTTTTGTTTATGATAATCATACCAGTTACAAATAAGACCAACTGTGGTAAACAAGGTTTTAACAAAGGAAGTTAGTTTCCTTAGATCAACACTGAGATACGTCTTCAGTGTTTTCTAGTGCTAACAAAAGATAGTATTGCGGTTGGCTTACAAGAAACATTTATCTCAGAGTCAATCACTACAGAAGTTTGAAGCCAGTGGTGCTGTTTGAGATTAATTGAAGTGGAGATTATGTTCCCGCCGTAATCCTTGCACGTTTTCATGTAAATAGTCTTATTCTAACACTCCAATCATTAGTACTTACGTGATACTTGTTAGTGGAATTAAAGGGGATTTCACAGACTTTTGGGTGACGAGCTCTGTACTGTTGAACATTACCGGTAGCCAGCTCCATGCATTTCAAAATGGCTGACTCAGACGCATCGCCGGAACATTCCCTAAAAGGTAACAATTCAGAAAACTCCAATTATTTCAAGGGTGGGATGAATATAAGTAATATGAGATATCGTTCTCATTGTAAATACCCGTATCAGTTATCTTTATCATGATGTTTTATAACTTACCATCACTTGATAACTTCGACAATCATACGCATATACTATTTATATTATGTTTTCTTATAATTATCTTTATTTCCCACCACTTTTCTTATCATAAAATGTCTTAATTAATACTTATTGTAAAACAAAATTACAAAAACTGTATGTCTTGTTTAAGTCTTTGTTGAACCTGATTCAAGAAAATTAGTTGTGATACCACTTACATTTTCACACAGTCGACGTATATTTACACACCGTAATGTGTGTGTACATTGAAGAGTGAAAAGCGGGTTACTATGCACTGATGTATTCTGAAAAACGTCTATAAAAAGCCTAGTATGTTGAAACCTAAGTTCACTACGTCTTGAAAAATACTGTAAGAAACCTGCTGTAAAATACTCTAAGAATTCTCCAGGCTCATGAGTATATAGAACATGATCCTAGTTTTAATTGACTTATTTCGTTTTATATTGCAAATAAATAGAGGTGCTTCGTTTATTTGCAATATACATATATATATATATTATGTAGTAAATTTGAACAATACCCTTGTGTGTGTTTATGCTGTAAATTTGAACAATACCCTTGTGTGTGTATTTATGTAGTAAATTTGAACAAACAGATTTGACACTGAATAAAAATGTGTACTTAAAATAACAATTTTTAGTTGTTGTCTTTAATATTTAGAATTGAATCCCAAAACTTGTGTATTCGCTTCTGAACAAACGCGTGTTGAAAACACAAACCTTCTTCAATTCCTGTAACAATAGAAGCAAAATTGTCATCCAATAGTATCATATCTGCTGCTTGTTTGCTGACATCACTTCCGGCAATCCCCATGGCAACCCCTGTGAAGGAGAATGCTTCAATTATAATAATTTATATACCTATACTATTATTTCAAATATTTTCAAACCGTTTTTATCGGTTATCAAATTTATTTCTTTGAAATATAAAATGCAGTTTTGAGATTCCTTAATATATATATATATATATTTAATTCCGAAGAAGAAGGGTGCCTTGTTAGGTTTTTTAACACATATTTATCTCGTTATACCACCAGTAACTTATACCAGATTTGTACGGTTACTGTAGCCTTGTGAGGTACATCTGTTTATCTGTTGTAAAGTAAAAGTCTTAATTTTGAAATAGAGTTCTCATATGTTTTTATATTTAATCACACCGATATATATACTAACCAATGTCTGCTTTCTTCAGTAACCTTGTGAGGTACATCTGTTTACCTGCTGTAAAGTAAAAGTCTTAATTTTGAAATAGAGTTCTCATATGTTTTTATATTTAATCACACCGATATATATACTAACCAATGTCTGCTTTCTTCAAGGCAGGTGAGTCATTTACACCGTCTCCTGTCACAGCTACGATAGCACCAAGGCGTTGACACCCTTCTACTATGATTAATTTTTGTTGGGGAGATGTACGAGCGAACACAATTTCTGTGTGGTGTTTTAAGATGTCGTCCAACTGTTCGTCGTGTATGTCTCTCAGTTCTGATCCATGGACAACAGCAGCTTTGGCATCTCTAGAACACACAGATTTAGAAAGATGCTAACTTCAATGACAAAATTATATTGGAAAAATATTTACTCATTTGCTATCTTCATGTAATTGCAATTTCTTTTGGTTCTAATTATTTTCATAGTTGTATTTATAAATGATTAGGTGACATGTTTACACAAAAAAGTTTGTGTCATCTTTTTATGTGAAATATTCTCTTTGTTACTAATACACACAAATAAACTTGCACTCGTGTTTTCGGTTAATTATTTGTTACTACTTACATTAACGGTATTGGCTAGAACATTTAACACATCGATTGTGTTTATATTTATTGTTTATATTTTTATTATTAAAATTTAATTATAAAGATTGTTTTCCATTGTTAGCTAAATATGTGTATTTAGGACTAGCCTAAATCTCTTAAACCGTCCTAAAACTCATGAGATATTATTGGGATTACGGCAGAGTTACATAACTGATGAAACAATGCATACCAATCTTTACAAGCAGGAACGTAAGAAAACAATAATTAATTAGCTATATTAATTGCTAAGATGATTTCTAGTTTCACTTTGAGTACATAACTTGCTCTGATCGAAAGTTAATATCAATATGTAGTATAGGAAAACAGAAGACACATAACTAGTCAATCTTACTTTTATAGGCCTAACATAAGTGGGTTTTAACCCTAAAGTTATATACCTGTTTTTATACCGTTAATTACCTGTGGAATTATAATATTGCATCATATTAAGTACAACCCTAATTGTGAAGAACGATTGATTGAAAACATTTATTTTTGTAAAATACAAAATAAACCGCCAGTGAAATTAATTGAAATATTGAGGGTAATTTCGTTTAATTACCATTTTCGTGTATAGATTAGGAAAACGTGCTTAAAAATTCGATAATTCTAGTTTTAAAAGAAACAGATATTTATGAAGACGGTAGTTCTGTAACTGGCCATGAAAGATTAGGACAGAGCAGGAACCAGAGCACACACACACACACACAAAACTATTTTGAAAACTGGTTATTTTAGGAAGTATATCAGCAGATGGTCGTTTCTATATCCAAGTCATACCTGGGGTTTACTTCTTCGATTGGTATGTTTAAACGTGCAGCGATGTCGTCTACAGTTTCATTGCCTTCTGATATGATACCAACAGCCTTCGCAATAGCTTTAGCTGTAATGGGGTGGTCTCCAGTGACCATGATGACCTAAATACAGAAGAATAACTTAAACTGTCATGATTAAAACAAGAGAGAGTCACTTTCACTAATTTACATTTAAAAACAAAATCAGCAAATAATGAGCTTTATGTCTACCTTATTTTTATTGATGAATTGTAACAAAACATAATATTTTATGGGGGTTTACATAAAACCTAAAGTACTATTTATATTATTTTATCTTAAATATTGGTTGGTTATTTGATTTTCGGTAGGCAAGCTTTCGTTCCGTAGGATTTAATACATGAATATAACATCAGGAATTCCTTATGAAACAACATGTGTCAGTCTGCTAATAGATGAGTATTGAAACCTTTCATCTGAAATTCTCTGCAAAGATAAGGAACAACCATGTTGTTTCCTTGAGTACATACCGACTTCCTAATACAAGGAACAACCATGTTGTTTCCTTGAGTACATACCGACTTCCTAAGACAAAGAACAACCAAGTTGTTTCCCTCAGTACATACTGACTTCCTAAGACAAAGAACAACCATGTTGTTTCCTTCAGTACATACTGACTTCCTAAGACAAAGAACAACCAAGTTGTTTCCTTCAGTACATACTGACTTCCTAATACAAGGAACAACCATGTTGTTTCCTTCAGTACATACTGACTTCCTGAGACAATGAACAACCATGTTGTTTCCTTCAGTACATAATGGCTTCCTAATACAAGGAACAACCATGTTGTTTCCTTCAGTACATACTGACTTCCTAAGACAAAGAACAACCAAGTTGTTTCCTTCAGTACATACTGACTTCCTAATACAAGGAACAACCATGTTGTTTCCTTCAGTACACACCGACTTCCTGAGACAATGAACAACCATGTTGTTTCCTTCAGTACATACTGACTTCCTAATACAAGGAACAACCATGTTGTTTCCTTCAGTACATACTGACTTCCTGAGACAAAGAACAACCAAGTTGTTTCCCTCAGTACATACTGACTTCCTAAGACAAAGAACAACCATGTTGTTTCCTTCAGTACATACTGACTTCCTAAGACAAAGAACAACCAAGTTGTTTCCTTCAGTACATACTGACTTCCTAAGACAAAGAACAACCATGTTGTTTCCTTCAGTACATATCGAATTTATTATACCTTTAAACTTAGTTTCTATTAGTAGTCTTTGCATATCAGACTATTTATTGGGGTAGAAATTATATGTAATTTACATATCACATTTGTATTCAACAACTTCATATGGAAACACCTCTCCCGCTTATTCCGCTAATGTTGTAGGTTTATAGTGGGAGGAAAATTTCCCATTAAAAAATTACGCACGGCATAACGCATTTCACGTGTTTTGTTTAGGGATAGAATATGTGTTTGCATGAAAAAATACGCTATTCTCTATGCATTCCATTGCAGTATGCGTTGTTAAATGAGCGTTTCTAAGGAAGGAGAAAAGTGTAATATTAGTAGCTCTTGTGGCAGTTTTCATATTGGTGAAAGTAAGCCATATTTGATGATTTCACTATATTTCATTCTATGTTGGTTTTTCGACAAAGCGCCTTCTCGCGGATACATTTTAGATGATTTAATTGGTTTTGTTTTTTATGTATACGGGAATAAACATAACAACTGTCTTTATATAAAAAAAAAGAATAAATACGAGCGGTAAAAACAAATAAACGAAAGGAAAGATTATTCGGTGATCACTGAACATAAAACTTATATTCTATGGTTCTAGTTTCGTTACTAATCTTCATACACTCAAGAATATATTTAACAACGAATAGGGTAAACTCTGTGCACGTTACCTTAATGCCAGCACTACGACACTTGGCCACGGCATCAGGAACAGCAGCACGTGGAGGGTCAATCATGGAAATAAGTCCGAGGAAACGAAGACCATTCAAGGGAAAGTTTTCTTCATCTGCGTCAAATGGATAACCTGGAGGGTACTTGTTAGCTGGTAGCTTGAGGTCACAAAATCCTGGCAACCATTGAGACACAATGATCAAAATATAACCTTCCATACACACACACACAGACAACGACAAACGTATACACACACACATATATATATACGAAGCACCTCTATTTATTTGCAATATACACACATATATATATACGAAGCACCTCTGCGGAGGATATTAGACACCTAAGTCTTGCCTTAACAACTTACCCTTGTGTGTGTTTATGTAGTAAATTTGAACAATACCCTTGTGTGTGACCATACAAAAACAACCCATGATATTGACTTAACTAAAAGACAGGAAGATAAGGAGTGTTGATCCTACAGAATAGTTTTGTGTCTGTATTGATTACCACAATAAATCCTGTAGACCATTCGAAAACAACCCATGATATTGACTTAACTAAAAGACAGGAAGACAAGGAGTGTTGATCCTACAGAATAGTTTTGTGTCTGTATTGATTGCCACAATAAATGTTGTAGACCATTCAGAAACAACCCATGATACAGTCTTAACTAAAAGACAGGAAGATAAGGAGTGTTGATCCTACAGAATAGTTTTGTGTGTGTATTGATTACCACAATAAATTCTGTAGACCATTCAGAAACAACCCATGATATTGACTTAACTAAAAGACAGGAAGATAAGGAGTGTTGATCCTACAGAATAGTTTTGTGTCTGTATTGATTACCACAATAAATCCTGTAGACCATTCAGAAACAACTCATGATATTAACTTAACTAAAAGACAGGAAGATAAGGAGTGTTGTTGCTGAATGTCATTATATATATATATATATATATATATTAGCAGTGAGGATGTTGGTCAAACCTCGTGATACGTTTTGATTTGGAATACAAAACATTTCTTTCTATACTTGAGAATTCTGTAACATTCAGTTATATGATAATTATTAAGATATGCATTCATTTGTTTAAAAAGTTTTCTTTTTTGTAGGCTTCTACTTCATTTTTTTCCTGTAAATATACAAAATAGAAAGTTATGGGCTACATATGGTATTATATCTAAAACATGACTTATTGTTTTTCTGTAAAACACTTCTACATCATAGCTACTAGCAAGGATGGGAAGTAAACATGCGTTCTTGCACAAAGTATTTGTATTCAAACATCATGCAAAGACTGAATATAACATGCAAGGGATAAAGCGACACCTGGTGAGAACATACAGTACCTGAAGCTTGTACTCTCAACAACAGTAACGACGAGCACACACTGCCACATCATTAAGGTCCCACCGAGTACTTTATATAAAAAGACGTATCATTTTTGTAGGAGCAGTAAGTCAGTTATACAAACCTGATGTACCTAATATAACTAGTGTTATACTTCTATGTTATCACATTGTATCTCGTAGAGGAATTCAATATCGTACTTCACAACTATATGGAATATTTAAAAGTATCTTATTCGTGTATGAAAACGAAAATGTTTTGTTTTTGTTACCATAAAATCGCATTGAGAATATTAGGTTTTGGTTTCTTTCATCGGAGGCTACAAAATCAATTACTTCGTAATTACAAATTAATTCAAGAAATCTAACCGGAACCAAGAAAGTCTTTTGGACATAAACCTCTCATTGGATAGTTTATAATAAAATAAACAGAAAGGAAGACGTGTTTATGGATCTCTTCTTTTACCTCTCATTGGATAGTTTATAATAAAATAAATAGAAAGGAAGACGTGTTTATGGATCTCTTCTTTTACCTCTCATTGGATAGTTTATAATAAAATAAACAGAAAGGAAGACGTGTTTATGGATCTCTTCTTTTACCTCTCATTTACAAGCTTATCATGCAGTGGATCACGAGGTTTCCTTTTCATTATATCAGATTCAGGTTTTTCATAAGCCAGTGATATGGCGGGAACCTAGAGTGGACAGTTGGAAGAACGTACAACATCAAAGTTCACAATTCTTGTCACATTACTAGTTCACATGCTAACACATCGCCAACAACAGTTGCAGTATACACTTAATAACACACTTAGCACATCAAAATAACGTATTACAGAAACGGTACACATAGTCATAAACTGTGGCATATAACATACAACACAAGCAACTTTACACTTCACAGGATACCAACATCATTACGTTGTTGTGGTTAATATCTGCACAAACAACACAGAACTTTCAGAACTCTAGCAATTTCCATTAGTGACGTCACACTATAATTGTGACCAGAGATCAAAGGTTAAACTAATACCATTTTTTCTTTTTCTTCAGAATATATGTAATACAACTGTATGTTAAATCAACTGTATAAACTGTAAGAAGTGTGTGACAACACAACATAGTATTGTAACCCTAATACTAACTGCAACCATATTTTCTTTACCAGCGTACCTCATATAAAGATTGGTTGAAATATCATTAAACACTCTTCGTATGGTAATAGGTGTGATAGTACATCATCGTAAGGCTGGCACTAACTGTAATCCCATTTTTCTTTACCAGCATACTTCAGGTAATGTGTAATTGAAATAACATTAAACACTCTTCGTATGGTAATAGGTGTGACAGTACATCATCGTAAGGCTGACACTAACTGTAATACCATTTTTCTTTACCAGCATACTTCAGGTAATGTGTGATTGAAATACCATTAAACACTCTTCGTATGGTAATAGGTGTGACAGTACATCATCGTAAGGCTGATACTAACTGTAATCCCATTTTTCTTTACCAGAATACTTCAGGTAATGTGTGATTGAAATACCATTAAATACTCTTCATACTAAAAACAAAATATTAAATAAGGGGCCAATAAATAATTGCATTACTCAATTATTATCAATCTTATTATAATATAATTTCACACACACGTTACCAACTAATGGATCGTGCTTTGCTAACCTATAGTATCATACTACAAGACAGTCTTATTCTAATGTAATATCACACACATTACCAACTAATGGATCGTGCTTTAGTAGCTTAGTTACACACCATAGGACAGTCTTATCTAATGTAATATCACACATATTACCAATATGGATCGTGCTTTATTAACTTAGTTACACACCATAGGACAGTCTTATTCTAATGTAATATCACACATATTACCAATATGGATCGTGCTTTAGTAACTTAGTTACACACCATAGGACAGTCTTATTCTAATGTAATATCACACATATTACCAATATGGATCGTGCTTTAGTAACCTAGTTACACACCATAGGACAGTCTTATTCTTATGTAATATCACACATGTTACCAATATGGATCGTGCTTTAGTAGCTTAGTTACACACCATAGGACAGTCTTATTCTAATGTAATATCACACATATTACCAATATGGATCGTGCTTTAGTAACTTAGGTACACACCATAGGACAGTCTTATTCTTATGTATTATTAAACATATTACCAACTAATGGATCGCACTTTAGTAGCTTAGAGTTACACACCGCTTACATTTTGTACAGCTTTTATTAAACATCAGGGCAATCAAAATAACACAAATCTAGTTTTTATTAAAACCAAACCAAACATTCAAATTTCGTGTCTTATTAATTTTTTTTTTCATACTGATATTAATTTGAATAACAGTCTGAAAATAAATTAATACATAATTTATTATTTTAATTTGCAATTCTCTTTTGAACCCATTAGTCTACCAACACAAATTAGGCTTAAAAGGTTCACAATTTTAAACTTAGGACGCTACCATACCCATGAGGGTTTACTGTAATACAATAAATGATATGAAAAAAGGCTTTTAGATATTGTCTTAGACAAAACAACAGACAGTTTTTATTGCCATATATTTTCATTTTACGGGATTATGTAGAAATAAATAAGAATCCCAGACTCCATTGACAAGGACTTACATAAATCCCTAACATAGGAAAGAGCGCACCATGTACTCCTCGATTTAATCCTTGTAAATAAAATATTCATTTGGTAAAAACAAAAACAGGAGTTACCACGCCATCTATTGAAATTCACAAAATATACTAATCTTCTTGTATATTTATTATAAACACTATGGGAAGAATTTTCATAAAAACATAATAGATTTATAATAATAATACATGTGATTCCTAATAGGACTGGGAATAATTTTAGGCACATTTTTCTTAATTCTCCCATTATAAGTTTCCATTAAGAATATTTTTAATAGCAGCTATGATAAGAAGAAGATTTTAAATAAACCTTGATCGTAGAACTGAGAAGTTCATATTTTACTTATGCACCATACGAAAATACTTCATTTTTGTTTTGATATAAATCTTGTTATTCATTTATATTTATATATAAATAACTGAATAGTTGCTAAGTGGAAATTAAAATGTAAAAAAAAAATCCTCTTACGTTTGTTCATTGTAAGTATGCTACTAGATATACAAGAAAAAATCCTATTACGTTTGTTCATTGTAAGTATGCTACTAGATATACAAGAAAAAATCCTCTTACGTTTGTTCATTGTAAGTATGCTACTAGATATAGAAGAGCACACTGGAAGTATGTTGTTCTGACTTAAGGCTGTACTCACCAAGTCTGTGCCCAGATCTATACATAAGATGGTCACCGTCCCCAGGGGTAAAGGTACATCAACGAGAATGAACAGGAGGAAAGGTGTGATCTCAGGAATGTTGCTGGTGAGGGTGTAAGCAATAGATTTCTTCAAGTTGTCGAAGATCAATCGTCCTTAAGTGAAGGGAAAAAATCGTGTTCATTAACTTTTACTTCGGTTCGTGGCTTACACCAACGATTACAATTACTGTAATAACATCGCTAAAATCTAACGAATATTCCGTAGAGATTAATCAAACCTGCTAGGGATGATTTCGGTGAAAACAAAAAAAGGATCCAATTTTCTCGAAATTTCGAAGCCTCTGTAATTAGACTAAGTGAAACGTTATACACATTACGAATAACAAATCTTGGGACATTCTCAGCCTGAACCTGAGGAAAAATGTTAAAAAAAAAAGACTGACAAATTAAATTTGTCTGTATATTTATCTATTAAAGAAAGACAGATTTTT